AGAACATGCACCACACATTAGACTTGCGGTCCACCGCATCATCTTAAGATCGACATGAATGTCGCAATACCTGTTCGTGTCACTATATGTATAGAAGTAGAGAGCACATACTAAAGGTATGGACATGGAACTACATGTCGAGCACGGACCATCAATTACTCTAGCTGACGTCACGAGGTCACCTACCAGTTTTAGCTTTGTGGATCATACTAAACTATAACGGAATATAATGGAAAAAATCCTCTCGGAATTTTCACAATGGCATCCTGTATGCATATTGTTGGCTGTAAAAGGGTGGCTAGTGATACGTTACGTATGATGCTGAGGCTTTTTACAGTAACGTGAACTAAATTTTCATAGACTTTCACGCCATTTTTGTTTTGGTGCAATAAAAGAGGCAGGCACTCTGTCTGCGTGAATGTTAATACTGTAGTACTGATACTTGGATTTTGTTTTACTTAAAAATTACATTTTCTCACCCAACATTCGGATGTCGATGATAAGGATGTCGTGGTGGCCCGGAGGTTTAAGACGCCCACTTCTCATGCATGAGGGTGCGGGTTCGAAACCTACCAACGGCAAGTACCAATGTGACTTTTTCCGAGTTATATGTACTTTCTAAGATTATTTAGACACCACTGACAAACGGTGAAGGAAAAACATCGTGAGGAAACCTGGACTTATAATTTCTAATTATAAGTTTGAAATCGCCAACCCGCATTGAGCAAGCGTGGTGATTAATGCTCTAACCTTCTCCGTGTGAGAAGAGGCTTTGCTCAGCAGTGGGCATTTATAGGCTGTTGATGATGACCCAACATTCTATCGTGTTCATATATGTATTTACTAACTGTTGCCCGCGACTTCGTCTGCGTAGATTAATGACTTCTGACAGAATTCATCATTACATTTCTGAATAAAAATTACATTTACATTTCTGAATAAAGATTATTATTTATATTATGTATGTCTTTACCATTCACGGGACTACATGGTTCCGATCATTTGGGAGGCGTACGAGGGCCCGAGGCCAACTGCGCAGAGACCCTTTATTCAACTTTAATCTAAATGTACTGGACACACAAACCGGCGACTATCCCTGTATGCACTATAGAAATGCACCCAAGGACAGTCCCCGGTTATTGTAGAACTATTGTGAATAATGGAAGAAAAAGGTAGGGTAGGGCTATGGATGGGTTGTTGTGGACCGGTAAATTGGAAACTATGGATGACTATGGCACCTGCCGAAACTATATAATTATTACACGTAAAAATGGAAGGCGGAGACTCGCCAAATCACCGACCGGGCCCCAGGGATGCTTGCTAGATATAGCAACAGAGGGGCAACGAGAATGTGAGTGGCTGAAGGGTTAAGAAACTAACACTGCTTTCTACTCAGATCATCTGCTTCAGCCGAAGCTTCCTGCATCCCTGGCCCACTCGCGACTTACGAATAGTTTCTTACCCTCCGAGAAGGATCATTTCTCTTGCGACTCCATTCTGGACGGCCAATGAAGGCAAGCCAGAGGTGGGAGACCTGTTCCTTGTCATTGTTCACTCCAGCCAGCCAATTAAGGCAAGCCGGAGCATAAGGAACGGTGCCTTCTCCCTGGAGCACTCGGGATGATGGTAGCCCACGGGGTCGCTAAAGCCCGTCAGGGCTTATTTATATTATTATTATTATCGGAATCAATTGAGTGCGCAAGTAAGATTTACCTATTTTGAAATGATTTATCGTAATTTCAATAAATAAATATTCCCGCAGGGATTTAACCAGTACAGTGCCCGATCACGTAAGGTTTGAGTAATAAAAACTATTCTATGGATTATTGTTGTACCGAATCTGTCTAAAATATGTTCAGTGGTTAAAAGATAGAGAGTCCTGGGGCCAATGCCCCAATGCGTCAATGACGCACAGTTCTCGTTCCCGTGGCACTTCTGTGATAAAAACAATCATACGTTACCCAGGTCCCAAATCATCGTTTTACTGAACGTAATTCAAAAAGATTCAATGATTCTATATTCAATGGCTAAGAAGATTTATACAAACTATCATTCCCTATTTTATCCCCTTAGGGGTGGAATTTATCAAAATCCTTTCTAAGGAGATACCTATGTCATAGTAACTTTATGCATGCAAAGTCTCAGCCCAATCGGTTTAAAACTAGCAAAGTATCCTACAAGCTTTCACCCCCTATTTTACCCACTTTGGGGTGGAAATTTAGAAATCAGCGGCTCGCGCGCAACTGACGTCAATAGTTAAAGTGCCAAGTGGTGACGTTGTATGGCAATGTTAAACCTTTGACCGAGGATCACACTAACCCTTCGGTCACGAAATACGTCGACCAGGCGTTTTGTATAGTAGGTATAGTTTGTGTACTAGTAACTACTTCACTTGCTACTTAATCATAGTGCGGTTTACGATTATCATTAATAATTATTTTCATTTAAATCTTTAGTACTTAAAAGTATATGGTAGCCCTATCTCCTAATTACCTTCAAACAATCTATTGTTTAAACAATCTATTGTATTTAGTCGAAATCTTCTAAGATTTCGACTAAATGACAATGACCAAATTTGTATGGAGCGTGGTGCCTTTTCAATTTTTCGCGGCAGTTGATCGGATGTGGAAAAATAGATGCAGAATAACATTACAAATAAAAAATGTATGGGGTCTTATATCAAAAACACAGTCCAAACCGAGTTAAATCAGTTCAAAGATGTGAAAATAGTGCTATATAATTCCATTGATTTTGTTGATGGTGACCGTACACATCGCATATTTCTTCATTTACTTGTCAGAAATATTTTGTAATAAATGTTTGTAGACGATTTTAAGGAATATAATAAAGCTTATTGTGGACTTTTATATTTTTTTTTTTGTTTTTTCTTTTTTTTTGTTATAAGTTACATTATATGCATTAAATTATATAACAAAGTTCCAAATTCCATTAAGGCACTACCTTTTCATAAATTTAAACGAGGTTTAATAAACCTGCTAATTGACAAATGTTTTTCAGTGTGCTTGAGTATTTAGATTATAAATTGTAATATTTAATGGTTTGTGAATTGTAATGTAATCTATTTATAATATGTGTGACATTCCTGTAAAATTGACATTTATAGAATATTGTGTGTGACATTTATGACATTTTTGACAAGTCTGTAAAGTACCTACATTATTTTTGCACGCCGATGTTGAAGGTAAAATAAGAGGACGTAAGTTATTAGAAAATGACAACTATCTGTACCTTATTTACGCAAATAAATAATTTTTAAATTTTGAATTTTTGAATGCCACGGATTCAGAACAGAGTGAACCATTAACTGACCATTGCTGAAGAAAAAAAAACATTTCGTTTGATTGACTAGCGTGTTCAATTTATATGTATACGGTTTATGGCCTATGACAGATTTTCATGAAAAAGAAAAAAAAAACTTTATTAGGTGTTTGGACGGCTACTACTACTCAACCCACCAATGGTACCACAGCTGACACTCATGAAGCTTCATGACACAACTCCTAGAAGCATCTCACAAGTTATCGACTGAGAGAAAATAGCTAATAAGAATTAGCGACTGGCAATATGGATATATTGTGGTGTGATTTGGTGTTTCTGTGCCCGGTGTACAGTGGCGCGCAATTTGAAGTTAGGAATTGTGAGAAAAATATGAATAATTTGAATAAAACAACAAAAGTAAAATGTTTGATTCTAGCTCGTTTCAACGCTCATAACTCAGTCCACACTGAGATTTCCATATATGAGCCCAAAGACAATTTCGTTTGTAATGAAATTCTAGATAATATTTTCCATAAATCATCGACTGCCGCCAGAAAAAAGAAAGGCACCGATTTTAGTCAATGCCCTTTATATTTACATGCGAACCAACAGCGCAACACCGATATGCAACTCCAATTATGTGTTTACGTTATCTTTTAAGTCGACCAAATGAAGTTGACAGCCCGACAACTACTACATTTTGTCGAGTAATGTACCAGGAACACATGCAAAGCGGTGACAGGAACAAACATAATGTCACGAAGTGCTGATATCGATGCTGACGACATCTAGTAGTAAATGGACATAGCACCAAGTGCATTTTGAACACGCAACATAGATGGCGCAATAAATTATTTTCATATCAAGGCTATCTGTTACCTGCTAAATGGGTGATTTAGTCCAAAATAGCTCTTGAAAGTACCAAGATAACGTGAAAATTTATTAAACTCATTTTTGCCAAACTTTGGCTCCAGGAATGAAAATTTTGTGATAAGCGACATCTATGTTGCCATTCCACACTACAAATTTTAGCTAAAGTATACAGTGATTGAGTGTATAGTAGATGGCGTATACCTACATTGTGATAAAATTTTGGTGTTTAGCAGATGGAAATAAATAAAAGGACTGGGTGACAGCCTCGTTGGCCGAGTGGTCGCAATTGCGACTGCCGGGTAAGGGGTCTCGGGTTCGATTCCCGGGTTGGACAAAGTATTACTGGGTTTTTAAAAAATTCTCAGTAGTAGCACGGAGTCTGGAACTGTGCCCGATATATGGCAATAGGCTCACCCCCTATTACATGGGACTCATAACATAAATAGTGAAAAGTGGGTGTTACATTGTACAGTGGTATAATGTGCACCTCTGCCTACCCCTTCGAGGATAAAAGGCGTGATGTTATGTATGTAAATAAATAAAAGGGAATGGAAAATTGTCGGAACTGTTACGAGAATAAAGTTTAGCTATGCTATTTTCATGCCATGACATTGATCGTGGTACTGTCGTGCCCCCATATAATTATGAATTTTAATTTTTTAGAAACGGTATCATGTCTATGTTGCTCATTAAAATGCGTTCCTCTCGTTCTCAATTAAATATTGTGATGGGAACCTTGTCATTTATTTATAATCTTTTAATAAAGTTCTGATCATAATCATCATCTGATTCTTTTGTGGGACTGGATGAGGACAGGGATACTTAAACAAAAATAACAAAAGCATGAGTAGTACAACAAAGTATGTTTATTTTTTATAGTACCTCGTATTATATAACAATATTTCTTATACGCTTACATTTTGTTAATCATACCAAAATCCGATGCATGCAAAACAATTTTAAACATCTTATACATAATATAATAGCATAAATAATTTTATTCAGACGATAGGAATATAACATTTTGTGCTCTACTCGAGTGTACATGGTGTTCACGTTTAGACATACTTCATAAGTGCTTGAACTCTTGGAAGGCTCTTGCGATTCTGTTTACTTTATACTCTAGAATATTTGCAAATAATTTTGCACGTAAACTACCTTTAATATTAACATACTGGTAGATCCTATACTCATAACGTTCTCATTCGGACTTTGTAAATATATCTGTAGTGATCTTGTTAGTACATAATATGTCAAGCAATTCATGTGTTCTCTTTCATGTTATTCACTACAACTAATTTGCAACTATGCTTTAAATGAATTTGTTAAAAATAATGATATGTGGTTATTTGTATACAATTAAACTATTTAACATCAAAATAACAATTTTTAAATATCACATAATATTCGTAGAAATATTTACCTACTTATTCAATATATTAATATCTTATATGGTCCTTTTAAACGCACTACCTCTATTACGTGTCGGTTTAATTATTTATTATCGTTTGATTTATCTTTTATAGTTAGTGTACATACATCGAATAATCTATTCTATTGAATACCTATAGGCCATAATTATTCGATTTGTCGTCGCTAGTGAATATAATAATTAATATTATAAGGTAAATGTCTATACAAAACGTTACTTGGTGTTGCTCTTGCGGCATATGTATATCACTAAAATGGAAGAGGTTCAATAACGCACGTCGGTGCAGGTACATACAGCTTGCGTTGGCAACCAGGCACGAACTTAATAGACGGATTTATTGATGATGTGTTCGCTAGCTGACACGTGGCGCAGGAGTGGCCTGGCGGGTGATACGCCATTGTTATTCATTGAGTATGCAGGTGCGCATCAGCGCATCTATCACAGCGTACGGGTCGCAGTTCGAGGCCGGTCGACGGTCCTCCAAGTAGCCCTTCTTCTCCTCGGCTACATTCCGCGGTATCCTGATGCTGCTGGCACGGTTAGCGACACCTGCCAAATAAAAATTATTAGTTTCTATATTCTGTCCTCGAAGTAAGTTGTGTAATTGTCACTCAGTTAGTTCTGGACACTTACCGGCGCTGAAATCATTAATACTGGCAGTTTCGTGGCGACCCGTCAAACGTCTCTCATTGTCCTTTCCTCCGCGAGGATCGTACACCTTGATGTGCTTCATGTGAACTTTAGACAGCTTGTCAATGGCCTTCTCGATTTCACTGAAAATAAGTAATATTATTCGTTAAGTTCCGTAGTGGTGTAGTGACTGTCTTACATCGTTGTTACAAGTCGTACCAGTTAAACAATAAACAACGCACCAACCGGTGTCGAAAGGCGTTATTCGATAAATTAAAATGTAAAAGTCGATTGTTTCGTTAAATTGAACATCGCGTGGCCGTATGAAACATTTCAGCGACTAAATCGGGGAGTTTTATAAACGTGAACGTCAATCATAAATCATTGATATCATATCATTGATACTAATTTGCAACTATGCATTAAATAAATTTGTTAAAAATAATGATATGTGGTTATTTGTATACAATTAAACTATTTAACATCAAAATAACAAATTCTAAACATCACATAATATTCGTAGAAATATGTACCTACTTATACAATATATTAATATCTTATATGGTCCTTTTAAACGCATTACCTCTATCACGTGTCGGTATAATTATTTATTATTCTTTTTTTTAAGGGGGGAAAATCATCGAATGACTGCTCCCGCCTGGGTGAGGCGGAAGGGAGTGTCAGACTCTTACTGACTAAAAACCACCCCATTCCTTCTCCTGCACGTCGAGCCGGAGCCCCGGTTACCAGTTAGAGTCTCCGCGACTCCGAATCGGCATCGGCCCTATTGGGCCCCATCTGTGGTGGTCTGATGGCTCTTTGAGGCGCACGCTGAACGCGACGCTGCTTTCCCTCGGGTCTGTTCTGGTCGGACGGGGAGCCACCCATCCTCGCCGTCCGCAGTCCCGCGCTTACGGTGGCCGGAGATCGTCCCGCGATCCCAGACGCCCGGTGTGTCCTTCGCGATGGTTGGGTTGCGAGGAGGCAGCGCTTCGCTGCCTCACGCGTCCCGCCTCCTCCTTAGCTTGCATGACTGCTTCGCAAAAGGAGGAGATGGCATCCCAGTCCCCCTCGCTCCGCATCATGCCATGCACTAGGCCCGGACGCGAGAGGTCGCCATCGCCGATCACTTCCCTGAGGGCACGGCGGTGCTCAGCCCACGCAGGGCAGTCCGCTACAGTGTGTTCCACCGTGTCCTCAGGGCGGTCCTCGCAGTAATGACACCCGGGCGTTTCTTCCCGCCCCATCAGACACAGGTACCTCCCGAAACTTCCATGTCCGGTGAGGACATGCGTCAGGCGGTAGGTAAGGACGCCGTAGCGTCTCTCACGCCACTCCTCAAAGAGGGGACTTACCGCTGCGATGGCAGCGAGCCCAATTTATTATCCTTTGATTTATCTTTTATAGTTAGTGTACATTGAATAATCTATTCTATTGAATACCTATAGGCCATAATTATTCGATTTGTCGTCGCTAGTAAATATAATAATTAATATTATAAGGTAAATGTCTATACAAAACGTTACTTGGTGTTGCTCTTGCGGCATATGTATATCACTAAAATGGAAGAGGTTCAATAACGCACGTCGGTGCAGGTACATACAGCTTGCGTTGGCAACCAGGCACGAACTTAATAGACGGATTTATTGATGATGTGTTCGCTAGCTGACACGTGGCGCAGGAGTGGCCTGGCGGGTGATACGCCATTGTTATTCATTGAGTATGCAGGTGCGCATCAGCGCATCTATCACAGCGTACGGGTCGCAGTTCGAGGCCGGTCGACGGTCCTCCAAGTAGCCCTTCTTCTCCTCGGCTACATTCCGCGGTATCCTGATGCTGCTGGCACGGTTAGCGACACCTGCCAAATAAAAATCATTAGTTTCTATATTCTGTCCACGAAGTAAGTTGTGTAATTGTCATTCAGTTATTTCTGGACACTTACCGGCGCTGAAGTCATTAATACTGGCAGTTTCGTGGAGACCCGTCAAACGTCTCTCATTGTCCTTTCCTCCGCGAGGATCGTACACCTTGATGTGCTTCATGTGAACTTTAGACAGCTTGTCAATGGCCTTCTCGATTTCACTGAAAATAAGTAATATTATTCGTTAAGTTCCGTAGTGGTGTAGTGACTATCTTACATCGTTGTTACAAGTCGTACCAGTTAAACAATAAACAACGCACCAACCGGTGTCGAAAGGCATTATTCGATAAATTAAAATGTAAAAGTCGATTGTTTCGTTAAATTGAACATCGCGTGGCCGTATGAAACATTTCAGCGACTAAATCAGGGAGTTTTATAAACGTGAACGTCAATCATATCATTGATACATACATAATACCGTTGTCTTCGCGCATCTTCTTGGTGGAGAAGTTAGTATGAGCTCCAGATCCGTTCCAGTCCTGGACTGGTTTGGGGTCAAAGCTGACAATCACTCCATACTCCTCAGCGAGCCTGTTCAGAATGTAGCGAGCGACCCACAGGTCGTCGCCAGCGGTCACTCCCACAGAGGGACCCACTTGGAACTCCCACTGCGAGGGCATGACCTCAGCGTTGGTGCCCGAAATGGGAACGCCAGCAAATAAACAACATCTGTAAAAGGAAAATTAAGTATGAAATAATTGTGTCTAAAGATTGTATTTTTTTGAAAATGTGATATTGAGATTCAAATTGTGGTGGAATAATTTATTCACCTGTAATGTGCCTCGACAAGATCCCTGGCGAACACCTTGTTGGCACCAACACCGCAGTAGTATGGGCCTTGTGGTGGGGGGAAGCCACCTGGGGGCCATCCGAAGGGCCTTAGGTCCGAGTCAAGCAAGATGTACTCCTGCTCAATTCCAAACCACGGCTCATCATCCTTGCACTTATCATATGCCTCTTGGCACTTGATGCGATGGTTAGTCTCTGTGGAAACGATAGAACAACTTTTATTATAAGAGATCTGTCATAATTCAGTTAGTTCAGAAGACCGGAACATGACATAAAATATGTAGCATGTGGGCTACATTACATATTCGGTACAGTTACCGCTGACCTGTGCACTATGTGGTAATATACCTAATCTAAAATAAGTAAAACAATGCGCAGGTCGTGCTGTCATGCAATTACCATAAATGCCTAATTAAATTGCGATTGCGAAGCGGCGATGACTAATATAACGCCACTTAATAGTCACACACTCACACACTATCACATACTAAGTATATCAAGTTTAATCTGAAGATTTCAAATAATAAAACATTAATCTGTGGTTTTTGCCACTGTTATTAATTTAACGCATATGGATACAATAAATAAAGGGAACCCTATTGGTCTTATTGATTAAACAAAAACATGAAACGAATCTACTTAATTTACTCTATTTGGAAATAATAAATTTGAAAGACAAAAAAGGCTTTCTGTTTGTATTGTGCAGAATTGTAATGAACGCACCTGTGGGCTCCATGTTGTATTTGTACGTGTCGCACATGACGAGGATGTGGTTGCCACGCCTGAATGGGTCCCGGTAAATGGCACGGGGATACAGGAATGTATCAGAGTTGTGCCCGTCCGACTGTCCCGTGGAGCTGCCATCGAAATTCCAAATCGGAAGATCTGTCAAAAATAAATTACACACAAATGATACAAACTAGTATAACAGAGTATATGATATTATGTTCCCAAACTGTAAGTGCCACTCAATTACTCTATCATAATGAACATGAAGGCACTCTATCAGACGTGGACACTTAATTTACTGTGAACAACAACTTTCCAATGAACTAAGAATATTGAATGAAATCTATCGTAACATTTATACGTCTGCTTCTGGACAATATTGCTTTGAAACCTTTTAAGTTTTCATCAAAAGTGCTAGTGATGGAAGTGGGTTGCTATTTTAATTTGTGACTATTATTATTTTATGTCTGGCTGTGTATTATATAAGGCAGGTTAGTATTAAGAATTATGTAGTTTTGGGTATTATGTATCCCGATTTAGATTAACGGATATATGTGTACATGTTGTATTGTAATAACATGTTGTTATGTTATGGCGCCATGTTGTTTACAGATCAGCTTGTTTCACTGAAGGTTGAACAATTTACCTAAACCGTGCTAATTGCTTTGTTAATGAGGATGTAATAAAACCACACTCATTTCATAGGATGTGCCACTTCTGTGTTTCAACCAGTGATGTATATGATTTAAAAACCGCGACTGAATTTTTGTTTCAGGAAATAGACATCGTAAATAGACATCGTACACAAACCGGCAATAATAAGTGCAATTTAGGAGGACACTCACCCTTGGGTTGCTTTGGAATGAAGCTCAGGGTACGATCTTTGCAACGAAGATGTTCTCCAGTTCCATCGATCCAGATGTATGTTGCCAAAATTTTGTCCGCAGGAATAGGGAGGTCATTGTACCTTCCCAACAGGGTTTTCGACAAAACCGCATTTGGTGAGTTGACCAGCACTGGGCCGGACAATATCTTCGGGTTATCTGTTAATTAAAATAGATTTTATTATTATACAAACAGAATTTGAAATTGTATTTGTTTTTTCTACTTTGACTACAATTTAGGTCGCTATCTGACCGAATAGCGACCTAAATAGAATTGAAAACACAAGCGACCACTTGTATTTTACATAACCATTTTTGTTTAAACTAGGTAGTCCCTGGAACTTAAACTGAATAGAGAAACATTATGAAAAGCGGGTTTCAGAAAACAAACCATGCAATTTCATGAAAACGCCAACTAAGAGGCTTTAGCGGCACGTCAAGAGGATTAATTAGCTGAAAGTTCTATTTTCTATAAAAACATAACTTTCTGTTAATAAGAATTCTAACAAAAGACGACTTTAATAATTCGGTAGAAATTAAAAAATGAGAAATTCAGTGAGTATGAAAATACTGAGCGAAATAAGCTATTGAGCGAATTTTTTATTTATGTGCATATTGTTGAGGAATTAAACCGACACTTAGCTATTGCAGATCTGACCTATGCAGACACTTTGCTCACAGGTTTGGATTACTCGTACACGATGAGACTCTTTGATGAGCTCGCAAGGTACGGGCTGGTGTGGGTTACATTCTGCGGTGACTATAATATTCCGTAACATATACCGACGCCAACGGACAGACACCGTAATTGCGTCCCTTTGCTATACATTCATACAATTAGAGCCTTGCCCTAGGTTAAATATCAGTGAATAAACTATTTTATTACACCCAAGGACTGTCCAATGATTGATTACTGTAAATCGTTCCAACTTTACTCCACAAGTAGTGTAGTTAGCTTGTCATTTAGCGAATCAATTTGTCAAGTCCGGATAGTCCAAAAGTTTACCTAGCATACGTGATAAAAGTTTACTTATTCTCTCTAGATTTAATTAAAAAAAACTGTTATTTGCTCGTTATACAAAGCCCAGACTGAAAGAGCATAGAAGGAGGCTTTAGGAATCTTTTGTCGACTTACTTTGTAGTGGAATTTTGAAACAATATAGAGCATAAATCTTCAATGAAAGGTGAAAGCTACAACGTTTCAGCGTACTTGCCTCATAAAATTTTCAGGTCGTCTAAAACCTTTAGACGGCTGACGGCTTAATTATTTTTTCGAAGTCCTTCGTAAAACATACCTAATTATGCCTAGAATATTTGTCATAGTATCGTAATCTCGTAAATTTTATCGTTGTGTAGAGTACTGATATTTGAAAACTATACAACTGGAGGCATTGTACTACCAACTAAGTACTTAATATTCACATTTCCAATGCGTTTCCAATCTTACAATTTGACGCATTATGAAATCAATTTTCGGAAGTGCATTAAAAATGAGATTGTAATGCATTTTGTGTAGCTACAGGAAAACAAACCTTATGCGCATACAGCAGTAATGTTAGTAGACTAACAAAGACGTTTGTGGTATGATTGGTATTATACGGATAAGAGCTATAATGGAGTGCGCCCGCTAAACGGTTGTTCATTGAAATTGAGTTATTGTACACGCATGTTTGTACACAATCCTTCTTGGAGCTAACTCTTTTGTATTGGATGGCTGGCCTGACCTGATATTACATAACAAAGCAGATCATCTGGTCTGATTTTCCCGGATATATGCAGATAAAGATGTTTACTACACCCACTTTCTGCCAGTAATGTTTATAAATCCCATAAAATTTGGTTCGATTGCAATAAGAACTCCAATTATAACAAACTTTGTATGTTGTCCTAGTGGATAATATTAGAAATCTACGTGTATTCGTGTAGAACGCCCTTCGTACAAGCCTTACCTTCTATTTTAGCGTGTGAGTCAGTCATCTTTGCGCCTTATAAAAACGTACAAATCTGTAACAAAAGAGAATACATTTAGTTTTCATTTCTAAGAAAATGGATCGTCAGCGTTTATAAAATATATTAATAGATAAATGTACTAAAACATTGTATAAATAATGTTTTGATGTTAGAGAAGGAAAATGCGAACATAAATAAATGAATATCGGTCGTATAACAAAAAAATAAACTGTGTGTCAGAGAAAATAGCTACCAGATAAACATACTGGGATACTGACTTACTGACGTTTTATTATTATATAGCCACTTTAGTAACGTTGCTTAGTGCAATATAATAACAAAGTTACTGGGATATTATTAGTAAACCATTCTTCATGTTCGAGATTATGTACAGGTGAACTTTAACTTGTAATTATTGTTCATGTTACAGATATAATAGATATAAATAGTTGGGATTAGATTGTACCTACAGGTACTTAATATTAACATATATTTTCCTTGACATTTGGAAATACTATAAATAAATGCCTACAAGTCAATAAAAAAAACGTGTTGTGTGGAACACATTAATTGCGATGTAAGCTTGTATCTATTTATATCCGTGATTGAGAAAAAAAATTAAGTATTATTATTATTTTAATCGGAAGTTTAAGGAGAGGAAGGACAAAGAAATATTTTAAATAAATTATAATCTTGTCATGTAATAAAATATTTTTATTTAATGTTAATTTATTTTAAATCAATCTGTTGGTTAATTATGTTAATTAATTAGCATTATGGTTGAGGCAAAGTCAATGAACATTATTGGTTATTCCACATGACGTTAAGTAAAGATAAATCTTAATTGTTTCATTTTCTGGTCAGCTGTTAGTTAATTAAAATTATAATTCTAAAGTCCTCGTAACCTCGACTTAAGATGATAATATTCTGAATAAAAACGACGCAAAAGTTTCCGGAAGTTCGGCGGGGCTAATAAGCGGCTCTGGTAAATTACCTTGCGTTTTAAATGGACACTTTTTGTACCACCTCGCCACATAAGAAAAACTGTACGCGGAATTGTATTTAGGTCAGACAGTTAACCGTGTGTCTTTTCGAAATTAAAAAGATATATTGTTCAGACTCGTTATCTTAATTATAGTTTCAGTGTATAGAAATGTTTCGAAATGACGTACATATTTCTCTCGTAACTTAGTTTACTTTAATATTTGTATTATCAACATAATTAGGTAGCTTTCTCAGTAGTGAACAATGTACAACTTCGTACTAACATTGAGAGTCTAATAGTTAACACGGGGTATTTCTTGCGATATCGTGCATACAATTATGTAAAAACCCTTGACACAGTTCGCTCCGCTAAAGGGTCTAGTAGCTACCTACATAGAATTTATTAACCGTAAGAAAGGTTGAGGCAATGTACCAAACATTTATATAAACATCATATTAACATGTGTTAGACAGTTATTCAAATAGTTTACGTGTTCGGTGAAAAGTCAGATGATCTACATTACGAGTTGGTAGTGCTACGAGAATAGAACTTACGATCGATTGAAGGTTTTTGGGCCCAAAAATAAATCTGGTTTATTTACCCGTCGACGGAGGACGAATGATTCATTATTTTTCTTTGTTTTTATTGCACGGGTGTTCCCTGTGACGATAGTGCGCTTCTCATGCGAATGTTACTGACCTCCCGTCTGTGCCCGGCGTTTTTGATTGGCTGAATGACGGGCTTTTAAGCGAAATTGAGTCAAAATCAGAGCATTTAAACTTTTATCGTTGGTAAATGATGAAATGTTTCCCCAGAATTTGTGTGATGGCTCAATAGCTCATTTGTCTAGTATTTGTAAACGGGATTTTTTAACGTTGTAATCTTGATTTTGTTCTTAATATTCAGTTTTCAATGTATGGAAACTAGATCATTAAAATTTCCCGAGTTATACAAAAACTGACTGATCTTATTTAACAAATAAATTACTTTTAACGAGTTTCCTTATAAAATACCTTTTACCTTTTTAAGGAAAAATCTGTAGCTATTTGTCGAACAACAAACGAAATTGAGGTGAACAGCGATCAATATAATAATTACAATAATTGCCCTAGATTGTGTTGTTTTCTGTTTTGTATTATAGGCAACGATGAATAAGTCTGAGTTTTTACGTCAATCTAGTGAATGGAAAATATTTGTATTCGGGAAATGTTTTACAATACCGGCTACTAAAATTTTCGTAATCTGAAATCTACTTATATTTGTAAACGTCCAGCCTGCGCCTCTTTAGCAACGTAAGTTTTGCCAACATAGTTTTCAAAATCAGTGCTTAAGAAAACTAAACTTCTTAAATAGCCTCCAGGCTTTCCTGCCCTTTAAAGAATTTTAAAAATTTTATTACGCTGATACGATATTAATTTTGTTGATCAATATAATTTTTATGTGCTTTTTATTCCTTCTGACGTACGAACAAACATGTCTAATTTTATTATGTTACCTGTGCTTTAGGCAGAGAATCTGTCGGTTTGAACTTCTTTTAATTTTTTTTCAACTAAATAATTAGAACGCGACCTTATTACTTTAAAATCGCTGAAATATTAATAAAAAATTAAGCATGTTTTTTCAAGTTTATTCTCACGCTGAACTTTAAAGTAAGTTACACAAAGGCGCGCACTATCTCACTGTTTACGTCTACGATGTTACATTACCATAAATACAAAGCAATATTTATTACGCAGTACTTAAATATTAATTCGACAGAGATTTATCATAGCTAATGGAAAACATATCTTTACGACACCATAATATTGACTTATTTCTGTCATGCATGTTTCTTGTCCTTAAATATTTGGACAGGTTCCAGTTGCCCTAAAAGTTACCGAAATCCAGTTTACTTTTTTAAATTAAAAAAAAAGTTACTTTAAACTTATACCTCGCGCAAAACTTTTATGAGTTATAACTTAGTTGTTGGACATAAACATTACTTTGAATACAAGACGAGGTGCGGGTCTAAGTCATAACATGTTATTATATTTTGTGACAGTTCGACTGAGCTGGTTTTCTATCAAAAATTTCGCCATAAAAAAGTTCGCAAAGCATGTGTAGATCGCGAGCGCATTTGGTGTGAACTACAAATATTTTGGTCGGAGCTGATGCAATTCGCATTGCAGCCGGATGGTGGTGGTCGAGCGGCGCGAGCACTCCGCGGGCACGTGCTGCCAGATCGCCGGGGAGTTTCCACACCTCCACACACGACTGCCACTCACTGATAAAAATATCACAACACCGAACGCACTCCGACGAATTTAAAAAAATATTCTTAAGCTTTACTTATCGAAAAATTTTTTTTTTACAATACCTTAATTCAAATCCCCGACACAATCGCTGCGTAACGCGCGGAAACTAGCGTAGTGTTGCTCGTGTGCGAAGTATCGGAACGCTCAACTGATTCGATCGCTCCGCTTTGCGGTCTAAGGATTGACTGGAGTTCGTGCGAAGCGCTGGTGAATATATGCGCGCGCATCTCCCCGCGCTTGCGTTTGGTGGGAGCACGACGCTGCGTACAAATGTGCACGTCAAGCATACTATCCTAGTTCTTATCAGCAAAGCATAAGCGTCAAAATGGAACAAATCTGTCGTGCTCGTACATTGTTGCCACTGCATGTAAAACTGTCAGAAATTCATTCAGTGCTTATGCCGCGAGGGAGCGTCGTCCAATGTGTAGTCCCACCCATAGTTAGGTCTTCCCGCTCAAGGTACATTAATTTGAATTGGGTCGTCACCGGCAGGTATAACTCCGAACAGTTTTAAACTTCATGAAACTTCGTGTTATCGTGTTTTGACACAATATGATCAATATTTACAACTGGTTCTCTGTTGTTTACATGTTATTTAGTTATTATAGGGAGTTTATACTTTTCGGATTTGCAAGATTTATGTTTATTTGAATGTAGTACAGGATAAATCAAATGCGACATGAATAATAACTATTTTTGAGATAACCGTTTACAGATTATTAGAACATTTCATTATTATCTACCTGATATTCAGGCACATTCAATATATGTATCTTCGAGGAAACATTGAGCCAGAAGTACATAACGATATGATCATAATATTATGTAACATGTACTTTAGGGAAAAAGTAGCAAGTTTCGAAAATAATGAAATCCATAGTCGGATTGTTCCAGAATTAACATTGCCAATCTAGTAATAAAAAGTCTAGAGGTATAATAATCGTTTAGCAAATGAGATTGCGAGCTGAATATTTTGTACTAGTATGTTTAGGTGTATGTGTACCTATAACGTGTATATATTGCCTATGAGTATAGATTTCGTTGGTAGTTTTATGGAGAGTAAATGAAATGTCCACATTCATACATAAACCGTACAATATGTCAGAAACTGTAGTGCTGACTACTTTACAATGTACCTACACGGTAACGACTGATTTTGATGTTGTCTTTTCAGTGTAAATCACGTCGACAATAAAATCTTTCAGGCAATTCCAGAAAATTCTGTAATCTGTTGTATTTGTATTATGTAGGTACATACATTAGCAGCTAAGAAAAGGTTTTTAAAAGTTCATTGTCTTAAATTTTGAGTCGGTGTCATATTTATAAGCATAAAAACATAATTTTGGTTTATAATACTCAATGTGATTATGTTGAAGCCCTTGATACACTAGATAAGTAGTTGGTAAACAACGTGACCATTTCATCGCTATCAAAGTACATTAAAAATAGTTTATCAAACAGATGAAATATCTAGAAAAGTGGTACCGTCGCCAAACGATATAATCGACGCATATACATAGAAAATTGATCGAGATAATCACTACAGCAACGGAGCAAATAAAGTGTGTCTTGTTATTACTGATTTCTTTGTTGGTGTATTTCACATACATGTAAATGTAGTAGACGTGGATTTTATTGCATCCGTCTTTTTAATATATAGTTTAGGTAGTATAGGTGCATAGGTTAGGTTATTTTGTTTAGTGGGTCTCGTATCCAATTTCACCAGAAGGGTGAAAATATCGGAAAATCCTGATAATGACCTTTCTGATCTCGCTTTAGCCTTTTTTGGGTTGCAACTATAATTTTTGTGCTCAAAGGTATTTCCCGGACCAGGGTATGTCCGAAAATTGCGACCGGATTATAGGGTGGGCAGCAGCGTTGTCTAAATTTTCGGTGACCTAACAATGATATACAAATCGCTTTATAGTCATTATGACTTCCTTTAAAGTGAATGGTATTTGTTTAGTAGTAGCCCTATTCTGGCTTAATAATCTAGTGGTTATGAGAACCATGTTGGTCTTTCTATTTGAATAGAAGGATAGGTTTCAGTAATACAATGCTACTGAATACAAGCAACTTACGTACAACATAGCTACTTTTGCGTATGTATATAGTATAGAGGTACATCAGAATCCGAGATGTTTGGCCTCGTAAGTACACATCTAAGTACTATTCAACTAGTTATGTTTAGTTTTCATACAATCGAACGTCCGATAGTTTATTCATAGACTTGAAACAGTTACCGTACTTAATTAACGCCACGGTTAATTTTATACGAATATTTTATCATCATCCTCACGTCTGTACGAAAGAATGTTTATTAAATAGAAAAGAATTATTTCAGCCTTCCCATTCATGGAAAAGAACTTATTATTTATTACATGAAATAAAACAAAGGATAACTTATTATTATATATCAATTATTATTATAAATACTTACTTCTATATAATTTTCTGTTTGACGTTCTTTGTGACACTGTTGGTCGGTTTGTAATAATTTTCTATTGTTTTCAATTCTCACACCACCTCTAAGAGTCCTGTAATAATTAAACTTAACAAAACTTGGACAACAGGTTTAATGTGGACTTCTAAACGATGGTTAATCGCTTACACAACGGTTTTTACTATTAATACCACGTGAAGATAAATGTAAAGGTCTGATAACGAGATAAGAATTCTAAATAAACATTACAATCGAAGCATTTTAACTGAAATCCAGTTTTATCATATTTTAACAAGTCACTAAAACCTTTGGCTTGTAAAACCTGTCGTTATTTTAGTAGTAATTTTACACATTATTATAATACTAGCTGTTGCCCGCGACTTCGTCCGCGTAGCGTACAAGGGATGCATCAATTGTACAGGGATGTATCACATTCGAATTCTCCAATTCAAAGTTGTATTAATCCTTGATTTTTAGATACGATTCGCGATTCCAGCTTCTTCCATGGATGCATAACATAGCTTTGCTAATTTTTGATGAATAACGTTTGTAGAATGTAATCGCTTAATAATGTGTTCCTTAAATAATTTCAAAGTAAACCATTAGACGTTCCGTGAAAGTCATTAAGACTGTTGATGGAAATTTATAAATGTTCATTATGTTAGACAACATATTTACTAAATTATCCCATTAGTTGTATACATACAGAACTGTTAAGCATAATATGGCTTCTCGCTTAATTTCCGATGTGAGCTATGTGGAATTGGTTTTCAATTTGCAGCTTCGATCTGTTAGCAGTATTGCAATCAGTGTCTTTTGTTTTCAATCATGTTATAAGCCCCATCCGTTACCTAATATACAATATACAAAATTGTATATTTTCAATGTATGTTCCTAGTCTTTCTTTTGTCATATCAAAAGACATTAAAAAGTTTGTTGACCCAAATTTGCAATTAGATTAATTGCACAAAATCAAGTGTGCGAGAGCCATGCTTTGGCACAAATGGGCCGGCTCTACCGGAATGATACCACGGCCTCACAGAAAACTGACGTGAAACAACGCTTGTGTTGTGTTTCATCGTGTAAATGATGATTACTTGCCCGATCTCCCCAAAGCGATCCAATCCCTAAAGCGCCAATCTTCCTAAACCCGAATCCCAACAATCCTCAAATTCCTAATCCCCAAAAGGCTGGCAACGCACTCTCGTAACAAACACATCGGATGTTATGAGTGTTCATAGGCGGCACCGATTGCTTGCTGTCAGGTGATCCATCAGCTCGTTTACTGACTTATCCCATAAAAAACCACACACACCAAAGGTTAACAATCTAGTTTTACATTTATTCAGAGTACCTAAGTTAACATTTTGGAAAAAGGTACTAGTATTGTTGTATATTTTAAAAAAACACCAGCAATTCGAATATTTAACGGTTATTCATCGGAATCCAATAGTCGGTTCCCCATTGACGTTTATCTAGTGAATAAAAGTCGGAATGTATGGAGTATTTATTTTTTTAAAGCCTCGACACGTTCGCAAAAATTCTGTAGTAACGGCGCATTATACCAACGTACGCAAAGTCACAGGCATAGCTAGTCAGAAACATGATTACGTAATGATTTCAGACTTGTTGAGGTATTCTTAAATTTTCCCGCAGTGAATGAGATATTTCTTTTGTGTAAAAGCGCCGTGAGAGGCTTGCCATGTTTCTAACAACTTCTTTACCTTGCGTATAAGTAATGTTCGTAATTGGCATTAAGGGCCAAGATTTGAAAGAGTTTTCGAGTACGGAGCTCTTTTCTTTTTCAGGCATTTAGTACTTTACTATTAGAGGTTATGGAGTAAGTAGCTTAGATTTGTATCAAAATATTTGTAATTGCGACAGAAATCTCTGTATGGGGGACTACCATGCTACAAAATACTCATAATTCTATGAATAATAGATGCTACTTTTACTAAAAACTATGAAATTGTAGAATCTGTTCTAGAGAAGTAGCAGGAATAGAACTGTCCAGAATGCATTGTTCTCATCCTGTGTCTGATTATCGATATAATAAAAGTGAATTTCCATTCGTTAGTCTCGCTAAAACTCGAGAACAGTCAACCGATTTGACAAATTTTAGTCTTGAAAAGTTCAGAGTAGGTTCAAAAGATGAGAAACAAAGGTTTTAGGCGGTACGAAGTTAGCTGAGTCAGCTAGTAAATGATAATTGTCACGTAGATTTAACCTCTTGCACTACATGCCACTAACTACAGACTGTGACACGTTTGATATTGATATCGAGACGTTACCCATAAATTATCAATGTTCTTAACACATGTATCTACGAGTACCGTCTACTCATTACGGTATAGTTCTGTAATTCATCAAAGTACTTATAATACATTCCGTTTATTGTCGCGTGTGGATCGTGGAAGTTAATTATACGGCCATGTTAAGTGTATAATTGTGGGTAAAGGGTTTATATCTAGGGACATTATATTTCATTAGGGTAGTTTTACCCTTTATTGATACGATCTAGTCGTTTATGATCGATTTTTCTATGATCGAAGTTTCGAAAATCTCTCGGTAATGATGTCACCTCTCCCGGCATTTTCATTACAGGGCTCATAATGTAATTGGTGATACTCGGTTTTATGTAAATTCTATACGCACTCTCCTCTGCCTACCACTTCGGGTATTGAAAGATGTTGCGTTTTGTTTGCTCTCAATTTTAGGAATATCAATGAGTTGTCTATCATTCATAGTTTCTTCCTGCAACTATGTATCTAGGAAACCTAACATTTCCCGATTCGGAAAATCCTCTTCCGGGAACCTACATACTAACCAGCTTGTTTTGATCAGAAGTTCCGGCTACGTATTGTCTGTTAGACAGTTAGACACTCCATATACAACTACAGTCACAAAATATTTTATTTGATTTCATTGGCTAAACTTCAACCTAAAAATTGTAATGGAGAGCAAATGAAAAACACGGCGGAGTACGGTCCTACACAGTTTCAGAAAAAATAGAGTAAAATGTTTATTGACAAGTTGAAAATGTTAGGCGTTCGCTCTGACCCGAATGGCGCGCTGAAAAACAAGTTATTCTCTATTAGTTTGACAAAAATGGAAATGGATTTTAAATCTGTTGAATGCCGAATACAATTCTCTAACAAAAATATGTAAACGATATATATTGTATTATATCAAATGGCAGTTGCAGAGCATTATTACTCAAATATATCATTAAGAAAGTTATAATGTTAATACATTCTATGAATGGTAGTACGTAGTTACATATTTTAACTTAGCTATTTAAAATTAATTAATTCATTGTACTACTTAGTTTGGGTTTTGTGCCACAGTGAAATTGTATAAAAAGACAAACTATCAATTATTTAAACATACTTACCATACCTTTTC